CCTTTAACATAACTTGATTCCACTTCTGATAGAAAAGGAACCAATTCAAAAAGGTCTCACTTTTAAAATGAACATTTTTTTCTTTTTAATGGCAAAATGCATGCAAAAAGCATATGATTATGGTATTTATGTTTCCATTAAAATGTCCTCAGCAAGCTGGAGGAGTCTAGTCTACTATTTTCAAGCTATTTAGATTTACAGCAGCACAGTGCCTATTTTATTTCAATTATATTTCAGGACAATGCACTCTTGGAGGAAAATGATTACAGAGTGACAGCCAGTAAATGTCCATTAGGAGTTGTCTTTCTACATACTGCTCAGCTATGGATGTCAGGTGATCGCTATAAAACCCCACTGTATAGCATCATTGTCATCTACATGAAAAACACTATTGATCAGTCATGCAGCTTCTCTTCTGTATGATGCAAAACATACCAGAGACATTTTTCAGCCAAGTTAAAAGCTTTATCCACCAGAACACTGTTCTTGAGACTCTTCTTTCTTAAACTGTAAAATAAACACAGCTTATACATTCCCCTTTGATCCTGCTCCATTAATGCCTAACATAAGAAGCAAAAAACTTCTTTGCAGCTTCTCTCTGTAAGCTATCAATACATAAGATGGAGCTAACATTGCAAGGACAGCTGACGTATATGCAGCTCTACTGATTACCACTCCCAACCTATTTTATTTATTTATTGCTAGAGCTTCATTTCTTATGAGCAGTAAACTCCTCTTCTGTTGAAAAAGAGAATCTGCTTTAATTCTCTAGGATCAAGAACAAACACTAGCTTTTTTCAGTGCTACTGGAGAGACTTGCTGTGACTAGTGTAACTGGAATGTAAAGTTTTTAAAGATGAGGAGCTACTTGTATGCATGGGTTACATAAAGAAGACCAAAATAAAGGACCTTCCATATTTCTACTGCATATTTAACAGAATATCACTGAAAAACCAAACCAACAAACACACACCCCCCTCCCTGAACCTCACCAATATCCGTCAATGATTTAACTCTAACACAACATAAAACTACATTAAAGCAATTCTAAAACACCTTCAAGTCCTGTAAGGATATTTTTTAAAAAAATTTACTACTTATAGAGTTGGGGTTTTTAATAGATATTGTTGATAAGCTGGGTGCAGCAATATCACTTACACACATACAGATGTGTGGGTCTCCAATGAATAAATTAATATTTCTTTGTCTTTTTCTGTATTTTGGCATTATACAATCAACTTCCTAATTCAGAGAAATGGATGGACAAACTATTTAAGGAATAACCATGTTCTTCTTAGTGTTTCATACTGTCTGTCTACAGTTGCAGTGCTTGGGATACATACAGATATAAAATACATCCATGAAGGAGAATGAAGAAAAAGGCCTGTTTTTAACACTCATTTCAAGTTAGGCTATAAATTGAGGGACCTCTGCTTGACAACTTGACAGTACTATCAATTGTTGAAGCTCTCTAATAGTTGTCCTCATAATATCCTTATACTTGGAAAAAGTGAAATAAAATTGTCCATTACTCTTGATGAGCAGTTTACAAACTTGTTCTCCATTGTTATCATTCATGTATCATGACACAGTTAAAGTTCAGTTGCTGGCATGTGTTGACGAATATAAGAGAGAAGCTGAAGGGATATTAAAGAAAAACAAACCCTGACAAGGCCTCACACACAGAAACAGTGATTTTATTACAAGTTAAGGAAAAATTTGTCATAAGTGTTTGATGGTATGTGAACTATTACGGGACATTTTGTTACAGGCTTCTTTGTAAGAGACTGTTAAACAACCTTTTGGACATGCTTAAATGTCAAATTTTGTTTGGCACTAAGCAGCAAACTGTAACAGAAATAACATTTCCCATATAAACAATGGTGCTTTTGATATGAATGTGCTGAAGATCTGAGACAGGCTGGCTGTTAGCAGCTCCTGGCAGCTCAGCGCCAGGGTAACACACTGCGAGTGATTCCACTTCCTAGCCACAAAGGCGGGAAGTGACTGCTGCTATTTAGGTAACCTCTGAAAGATCCAGAGGAAAGGAAAGGGTGGTAGGGCAAAGGGGTAAAACACACTGAAAATAATGCTCACTATCGGCGAATGCTAATGCAAACAATACTTTAAGGATGCAGAACTTCAACCAAGTATTTAGGGTCTTTAAGGCCAGGCTGGATAAGGCTCTGGGCAGCCTGATCTAGTGGGAGATGTCCCTGCTCATGGCAGAGGGGTTGGAACTGGGTGATCCTTGTGGTCCCTTCCAACCCTGACAGATTCTGATCTGTTTTAGCAGAGGACTTTAGAGCCCTATTGGCTCAATGGTTGGACTTGATGATCTTGGAGGTCCCTTCCAACCTAAAGGATTCTATGATTTATCCTTAAACTTCTTGTAGCATTATCAGGATAAATCAGACTGCAGAGAAGACAGCCCCCTGGAGAGGCACTTGGATGCTTGGTGTGGAAAAGACATGCCAAGAAACATGTTCCAATGTGCAAGACATGAGGAGCCCTGTATCCTACAGATAGGGAGACAACACAGTTAACAGAGAATAATACATCTAAGCCTGTGAAAAACAGAGCAGCCTTGGGAAGATAGCTCAGCCATACTCCAGGCTCTCCTGCTACACACTGCATGGGATCAAGCTCCCAGATGCCCTTCACACACTTTGAGCAAGACTGAAAGCTGCTCCCTCAGAGCTGCTACTACTCCTCTGTGCCCAAAGCAGGAAATACACTCCCTCAGATTTGGGCCTGAGGTATGGATCCAGCTGCTGGGAGAGCTGAATTTGAGCCTGAGATTATGTAAATTGCTGCAACATTTCCCAGAAGGTCTCCTAGTGCCACGTGGGATTCACTAGCTCTGTAGTTTGGCTGTTAATAAAGGTGTAAGGAAAAAAAACCCCAAACATACACCAGAGGCATTCCCGCTTCAGACCTCTGAACAGGTATTTCAGAGCACATTTATAGCAAATAAAAATCTTTTTCCATCTGAATTGCCTATTTCTTTCCAGATATTTCTTGCCAAATGTGTCCCCTCTTCATCATGGGACTGAGGGTGGCTTTTGTTGCCCCAGTTCTAGTCCAGACTTGCATTTTCTTCCTCTGTTCAAGCCCATTGTGTGTTCTAGGTCTTTCCTTTTGTCACAGCGTGATCCAGCTGTGAGAGACAGGGCCCTCTATGTTCCAGAAGTAGCCTGTATGCACAAAACTACCACACTGCTCTTCAATCCTACCCATACGATTAACATCCGAATCCCTCGGTACTCCCCGCTCTCCAGTTTCACTTTCCCAGCTCTTTCATCAGCAATCACACAGTTAGCTAGGTCACGCAGGTCTTATATTTCACCTTGCCAGGTTTGCATCAAAGAACTTTTTTCTTCTTGATTTGACATTGATGCCACACAACCCTGGCATGAAACACTGCCTTTGGTCTCACAAAATAGCCATGAGAGTCACCACGTGGTAGCAATATCCAACCAAGCTATCTTGATTTCCAAAGGCACAAAAGTGGTGAAATGTCAGGCACCTGGGCATACTAGTGCCAGCCAATATAAGGCTAAAGAGCATAAAATTTCAAGAGCACAGATGAAGCTGTTGTCTTTTAAAATTATTTTGCTTCCTTCACTGAAATAATGTACATATCCACAATACACGCCTACTTAATATAAAAACTAGATCTTCTACACAGTGCAATAAAAGAGAACAGTGTGCTTGAGAAAATAAAAAGGCAGTTGCTACTGAATTTCAGTAAAAATTTATCCATTCAACGATGCAGCTGAGATTTTCTTATTTGTCATGTTAAAGGATGTATTTTAACCAATATCATGTGGAGGAACTTCTCAAAATAGATCTGATGGAGAGTTAAATACACTAATCCCAGTCATCAATTAAAAAGAGTTTCAGACAATTAGCTGAAATCTACACAATAGCTGCTCTCCTTAAGACCAATGACTCTGCTACCACCTAGAACAGAATATGCAAAACGACTGTTAGCCCTCATGTAGAGCCATACAGATCCCAAGCTCTGCAACCAAAGATATTGCTTTGCTGACAATACTGGAAATCCAGTATTTTTCTTCTGGAAAGAATGCGATAGAAAGCAAAACAATGATTTTTTTTACAATGAACTAAATTAATAATCTCTGAGTGAGTTAATGATACCTCCTGCACTACAATTTTTGTGTTAATTTTTGTAAAGCTGAGAAAATGCAAAACTACAAGATTATAGACATAAGCCAAGAAAACAGATGCATTTTCTTTGTTAAAGCACAAAAAAGCTGTGAATTTTGCCTTTGGTTATTTCTACTTCATGTTAGTTTATATGCCTGTTTTAGCTTCAGAATTTCAAATGAATTGAAAACTCCACCAACAGAAACCAGAATTTTGCCCAATTTAAGCATAAAACCAAGCATGACTCTGTTTAGGTAACGTAACCACAGGAAGAGTATAAATCATAAGCTACAGCCTGAGAAGAGAAAGTAACTCTTGAGTCAAGCTTGGAGCTTATTCACTTGTCTATATATAATACAGAAGTTCAATCTGTTAGACTTCAGTTCAGGACTACGTTAGGACTAGAATCCAGGTAGGCTTTAATCCACTCGTGCTTTAACAACATTAACTTTCCAGAGATTCTGTAACTGCTGTGAACAGGTTGGAAATGTTGTGTTCCATAACCATATCAGTTACAACTCTGATAAATAAAGCAGATGACACTACAAGTCTGAATTTAATTTGAATGATACCAAACAGTGACTCCAAAATTCCAAACCATCTGAAGAATGAGAAAAAAAGCAGCTGCTCGGCAGAAAATAACTTTCACATCCCATTCTGTTAGTTTGATTTGTGTGAGCTCAATAGTTTTCTGCATAAAGGCTTTTAAAAAGCCATTAATAAAAGTGCAGTTCTGACTTTCCAATTGATGTACAGTCATCTCCCATGACAAAAGCATTACAAGGATGGATTTTGAAAGAGAGTATTGATTGATGTCTGGTGCCTACCTGTCTACAGGTGAAGACTTTGAATTCCGTGGTTTCTTCACTTGGGCATACAAGGCTTCTACTGTCTGCCCTTCCCTCGGGCTCTGTGGGCGGGTGTTCAGCGTTACCGTGCCACTATTTGAAGAAGAGTCATAGGAAGGAATCCCTGCATACATTGGGTCCACATCGCAGCCAAACGTCCGGTTAAAGTCCTGTATCTCTGCATAGTCACGTTCACGAGCTTGTCTCTCTCGGAATTCTCGAGTTTTTGCTTGAATCCTGAAAAATTAAAAGAAGGTCAGAGCTAATTTTTTCTCTGCCAATCATTTGAAAGCAGCAGTTAGCAGACGCTTTTAGGTAGCCCATCTTAATGAAAACCCCTGAAGTGTTTCTGGTTTCATTTTTGTCATGGAGTCTTAGATTTACATTGGATACTGAGGCCGAGATCAAAGTAATGCTATAATCAACACTGGTCTTTAGGGAAGAAATCTGATTATCCACTGTCTTTTGTTTCATTATTAAGTCAAATAATGACTAGCCACAGCTGTTGGTAAACAGCTTACCTATTATTTCATGCATCTTAGGGTTGTGCTTGTGCTATTACCTGACCTGTCTGAGAATGGCCTGACACCGTTCATATTGTACTGTAATTCATCAGAACCTAGCAGATGTTATGGTTCTTACGCCTGTATTTAGAGAGGAATGTACTTTCTTGGTCCGATACTACAAAAATCATACTTCTTTCAGAATTTTAAAACATTATAAGAATAGGACACATACATACATATTTATGTATGCATGCATGTAGTAAACAGCAGAATTAGATTCTTATATGAATTGTTTAAAACTTGTATGTTTTCTTTAAAATGTAAATGAATTTGGCAGCTCTCAAAAGCAGGCAATTTCTTCTCAGAAAATAACAACACATGCCTTATGTTAAAGTTACAAATGAAAGGTGATGCTGTACCAGGGTTTTGTATCTAGGTGCAATTGTTTAGCTGTATGACAGATAAAGTGACAGATAAAACCAAAAGACATTTAGGAATCTTGACAAACACAAATTAAGCACATAGTGGTCATATTTTCAAAAGCACACAAAGTGATTACTAAGAATTGATCTGGGCCTCAAAGATTCTTTAGCATTTTAGAAAATGTGATGTACCACACACACATGCACAGCAAACTGAACCCCCACAGCCCCAACATTGTCTTCCCAGACTTACTTAATGCTCTGTCATCATTACAAAATGAAGCATTCAACTGTCTCCTCCCTTCCACTAGTAAAATGTTCTTTTTTCTTCACCTAATACAGCCATGGCTACACAGTGTGACTGCACCCATCCATTCAGACTACACCTCTGTGCATCTCTGTTTTGTGCCATTTCCAAAGACAGCTTGTTCACCCATGTTTAATGAGAGCAGCCTACTCAAAGACTCTGTCTCTTTTGAAAGTTTGTCTTTTTTTGAAAGAGAAAAGTCTTAAAATTAGTTAACTGACATTTTTTTTAAATCTTAAATGTAGCCCCATTCAATATTAGTCTTTGCAAAAAGAAAAGGGGATACACCCAGGGTGGAATTCAGGCTGCAGATGAAGATGTCAGAATTTAGGTGCCTGCAGTGGATGAGGTCATGTCAGCTACCTGTGCAGGCTCCTTTTACAGTCCAGGGAGCTGTAAGGAGCTGACTCAGCTGTGAGTTACACAGCTGCCATGCTAAATGGTGTGTACTACATGAAAGGAGTTGCTCTATAGACACTTTTGATGCTGTTGTTTAGGTCTGCCTTGGGAGCTTGGGTAACCAGCCTTGACTCAGCTGCTCAAACATAAGCAGCTATGGCTGCCTAACATCCCCAGGTAGTCTTGTTGGACCTCCAGCTGCTGTGCAAGAAGGACAGAAGGACTACTGTAGGTCCTTGTCACATCTGCCAGCCCTGTGCTGCTATATCACAGATGGTGATAACTCAAATGACACAAGATGCCTGTGTTCAAGCATACAAATCCAGCCCTCAGATGGTACATGACCATCTACGTTTAAGTGTCTTCATCATACTGAGTCCCAGGCAAATTGTTCTTCCTATGCTAACATAGATCACCATAAAAAAAGAAGGGAATAGGAGGATGGCACAGAGAGGCAACGCTATCTTCCCCACAAATCCTACAAGTATTGACCAAGGATAATGATAGAGATATCTTCCACACACAGTGCCCTCTGCATTGATGGTTCAATGATTCATTTACACGCCCCACGTTATACCTCAGCATAATTCCTCTTTTTAGGTCTGCTACCACTGTCTTGTGCACCACAACTCTCACTCATACTCAGGCACAGTGGAAAGAAAAGCAACGAGGCAAAAGAAAAAAAGAAAAGGAAAAGAGAAGAAGTATCAGAAAGTTTAACTTGAACATAAGTTTTAAATTTTGCAATTTTGCAAATACAAAATTATTTTCTTTACTGTTTATTTTGTATTTTAATGAGGAAAAATGGAAACTAATATTATTCAGTTGACAGCATATTCCTCCACAATTTCAGCAACATCACACTGGAATTGTATTTTGTTTAATTTGCAGTGAAGAAGGACACAGGTTTAACTCCAAAACCCATTTCAAATTTAAGCTGTGTTTGTGCATGCCAGTTTTTAAAATAAAATTATGTAGTTTACATTGCCCTATACTTAGATGTAATTCAGAAATGTTACAACCTCAATCACCTGGAAGGTATCTATGCAGAAGGAAAAACCTGCAAGTGGCCTGTGCTTGTTGATTCCTCAATCTACAGGTTTCACTTCCCATTAATAGTCTTGTATCAATTACCCTGTGGAGGAATGCATTTGTCTGTTCATATTTGTCCTATGAATGGGAGAAGCAAAGGAAATCAGAAATTTCCTACATATTGGTAATTTCATTTTAATTTCAATTTCAATGGACAATGCATCATCACATACTAGAACACTGGCAGATACCAATTTGAGAAAAAAAAAAAAAAAAATCCATGTGTATGAGATAACCAAAATTTCAGTGTACAAGATCTGACAGTATAACACTAATGTGGCATGGAGTAATTCAGTGAGAAGAAAACTTTCTTATCTGAAGCATTTATAAACCAGAATTACCTGGTGGTAACTGGTGCTATTTGCCTCAGTGTTGCAATGAGAGATGCCAGTGAACTTACCTAACTTTTGACCATGAATATCACATCACTCTCCACTGGTGTGCACATGAGTCCCCCATTTCGTATTAACCAACTTTTCTCAGGTATCTGCTTATCCACTATTTAATATGTTTGGATGGCACACTACTTGCAGCAAGAATATTAAGATTTTCCCATGCATGGTTCAATGAGGGATACTTATTCCTGTCCAAATGGGACAGAACTGATTGTTGAAGTATTACGCAAGTAATTATGTTCATATCCACCAGGAAAAAAAATTTTGATATTTTCTACAACTGACAATACAATGTGTTGATACACATATGTAGTCTTAAAAATCTACAGTCTAAACTCATTATAAATCTTCCTGTTAATTATAACCAAAGTAATCATTTGCAGTAAGCAACATTTAACAGAGGATATCCCTAAAGTGAAACTTATGTCTGACTATACTGACAGCCAAAATATTCTGACTTTTTTCTCTTAATTAATTTTCTGTGCTTTAAGTTTAAACCACTGTGCAAGTTCTAGCATTTTAAAATGACAAAAGTATAGACATTCTGATTACTTAACATATTTTTGAGTGTTGTTTAAAATACAGCTCTGGTTTTGCCTTCTCCAGGACATAGTGGATTTAAACATTATATCTCCACACCTAAAGGAATCAAATGACCAAATTAAAATACATAGACATATTCCTGAAAAGAATAACATTGATCAGCTGAATATTGCACTGTTTTGCAATTACAATAGTTTTTAACTCTGGATATAAAAGAGCCTGAACTTAATGTGGCATTATTTCTTAGGCTGACGTCCCCTCCTTGTGCATGTGTGTGTATAAGCATGGTATAGTGTAAATAATTTGTTAGCATCTACTGCATTAAGTATACATAAGGGAAATGCCAGCGCAGACTGTAACAGGAAAGATTAAAATGATTATGTATGCAGCCTGTGCAGCACAGCCAAGGACCTGAATTTGCTCTGTACTTCAGCCCTAATCAGCAACGCTCCCACTACTGATCCCCAGTATCTGGAGAAGTGTTTGACCACAGTGCTTTGCTTTCACAATGTGGATATGTGCATTAAGCTGTCTTCACTAAATTGTATTCTTCATGACAAAGCACAGTAAAAATGCATATGTCTGAAATTTCAGATCAGCTAATTTTGAGGATTTATGGCCTTCCTACGGATTTTGTGGGGCTTTAACAATAATAATAATGCTTAGCTTTCACACAAGTCATTTCATCTTCAAAGAATGTTGCAAAATCTGCTCAAATTTTGCAATGTTTAAATGAAAACGAACTTTTAAAAATACAGCAGCTACCCCAAGAAGTTTCCAAACCATTTTTGCTGAAGCGTTAATACTGAAAATGTCAACAATGTATTGTCATGCTTTTCAGACTCAAATTACAATGTTCAGTAAAGTATAAACTATCCTCATGCATTTGTGTGCCATTCAATTCAAAAGCTAACGATAACTGCTTCAAATGACAATATTGTTAGCTGCAGAACTTCCTGTAATTGTTAGAAGAGCTTTTTATTGCGGGCTAATCCAGTAATGATAGACATACGCATTGTACGGTGATTCCAATGCACGTGAAATGGTGGTCACAAAAGGGAAAAGCTTATGCACTGGTGTCCCCAGCAAACAGCAGCCACCTCAGTCCCTTCTTCAAAACTCAGTGAGTGAGAGTCATCTTCCAGATGAAGGCAATTACCATTTCAGACACCTAAATTTGGGTATCGAGGAATGTTTTAGACTCCCAGAAGAGCTAGTCAAGATTCAGCCACAGCAGGTGGCTGCACACAGGGTCTAGAGAGCAGTTCAGCTGAACATCTGTAACGAAGCCATTTTCAAGTGAAGCTCAGTCCTTCTCCAGGCTCTACCAATTGTGTCGAGTACCCCTCCCTTGACCTCAAAGGGCTTTTAGCCACACCGCTCAGAGATGGATACTAAATAATCATATTAGTCTGTGAGCCCAATCCCACCCTGAGCTAAATGTTTACAACAGTTCTGCCTGAACTAGACTTTAATATTTTCCAGAAACAGAAAGCTTAAATCTGTGGTGCTGGCAGAGCTGTTCCAAGTAAAAGTGAATCAGGAAAGTGGGTAAGAGAAGAGAAATCAACCT